AGATACTGGAGTCGCTTTCCAATTGTAAAATTGGAAAGTAGTTCAAAGAATTTAAAGAATGCCATAGGTTTATGCGCTATGAAGATAAACCTAAGTGCAGAGTAACATCAAAGTGTCATCCTAAAAGAATAATTACATTTTATATTCGAAAGTCTTATCTAAAATTCAACGAGAAATTACTGAAATGGAAAAATGAAAAAAAAAAAAAAAAAAAATGAATCAGAATGTGGGGGGAAAAATGTGATTTCAAAGTATATGGTAAGATAAGTATAGTATGATATGCTATTCCCAACATAAACTTCGAGACTAAAAATAGTGAATTTCACATGATAGCATGTCATGAATGTGTCAGTTAGACATGAAAGAGGAACTTCAGTACTAGAATGCATGGGTGGTTTTCACACCAAGTCATCCTACATTGTTTTTCCTTACTCTGAGAAGCGTCCGTGACCTGCCACCCAGGAATCTGGTGAATCTTGTCCAGACCTCTGGAGGGAATTCTTGTGGCTCTGACCTCCTAAAACTACACCCCCTTCTCAACCATGGCCATTGCATTGCTAAGAAGCATGGGAAGCTATGACTAACAACTAAAGTGTTAATCGACTGCTTATGAGGAAACAATCAACTACGGGAAAATGTCGAGACAGTGATTAGCAGTTGTTAAACTGCATGTTTGTGTGGGCTTAGCATGTGCATTTGTTTCACATCACCATGAGTCTTTGTAATCTCATTTACAGTTTCCTGTAAAAGCCCATTGAGGAATAGCTTACTGAAACTCCAAATCTGGCTGTGAAGATACAACATTTATTCAGCTAAGACACTAACAGCCGAGATGATTGAGTGTGGCGTTCCGCTTGAACTTTAAGGCATGTTGCAAAGGGCTCCCAGTACTTTCTTGTGTCTTGCTCTAAACAATATTGGTGTGTGTGTATGTGTGTGTGAGTCTAAAACCTTCAATAGAGTCATCTGTCTTTTAGAGACGAGGGCTTAGATGAAAGTATTTAAAGTGTGTGTATTAAAACCTAACAAAAATTGTTTGCATTAGTAAGAAATGTTTTTTTTCTGATTTCAGTTCTAATTCTGCTGACATCCTTAGATAAACATTTCATTTTTATATCTAATTTTGAGTTAATATTGCATAAAATGTTCATTTAATGCAAGTTTTGTGTATGTTTTTGCAGTGAGTTTGTCATCTTGCTCTTTAGATATCTGCATTGTTATCGGTCTCTTAAAAGAGGACATACTCACAGGAACAAAAAGTTACAAACAGGATCTCTTGAGTATCACCAATGAGACATAAAGCGATAAATAGAAAGCAAATGGAAACATTTTCTTCCTGAGCAAACACACTACACTCTAAAAAATGCTGGGTTAAATACAACCCAGTGCTGGGTAAAATAGAGACAAACCCAGCAATTGGGTTGTTTTGACCCAGCGGTTGTGTTAAAAGTTTAACCCAACCTTCTGGGTAGTAACCCAACCGCTGGGTCAAAACAACCCAATTGCTGGGTTTGTCTCTATTTTACCCAGCACTGGGTTGTATTTAACCCAGCATTTTTTAGAGTGTAGTCTCACATTGTTTCTTTTAAAGCTGACACATAAATGAAACAATTGAGAACTCCATTAAGTCTACAAAGATTTGAAAAAGCAAACTTTGAGCAGCAGAGTTCTCCTCTGGGTAGATCTCTGTGTTTTATGTCTGTTGCATGTTTACTTAGCTAGACTTTCTGGACAAATTTGCCTTCAGAAGTTATGTACAGTAAATTTAACAAAACCTCCAGGGATGTTTTCAGTTGGAAAAACAACTGATAAAACAAACATATTTTTTATTTTAGGAATGCACAATGTGTTAGTCAGTACTATTTATGATTATTTTATTTATATATATAACAGTGTTTCCCCTTAGGTTTACGGCTTTTCCGTCTAAATTTTTCTGGACTCCTTTTTAATGGTTAAATTAAATTTTATTAATCAAAAAGCATGTCTAATAAATGAAATCAAGACGCTTAAACAATTTAACATCAATTTATTAAAAGTTTAACACAAATTACATGTTTAGGGCCCTATGAAATGTTTTATTTTTTCCAACCTTATGTTTTATTGTTACCAAATTCTGTGTTTTAGCATGTCTAATTATTTAAAAGCATAAAAACAAGTTTCATTTATTCTTACAATAGCCTGATGATTTTTTTCCCTCAGAAATTAGGGGCGCCCCCTAAATATAATGGCAGGGGAAACACCGTATTAATATATGAAAGTCTATGGTTGCTCTGATTTAGATTCATTAAGTCACCGTGTGTGAGAGAATCTCTCTGACTGTCTTGTTTAGTCTGCTCTTGTTAACCTGGGTGGGAGGTTTTGCTGCAGGCCTGTGTGTCTGCTGTCTACATGGCACAGGCAGGGAGATTTCAATAGACGGCGTAAATAAGGTTAGATTTAGAGTTCCTGTACTCTGTAGGGTAATGCTTATAACAGTGAGACTTACACAGCAAAGTGCAGGGGCGTTTAGTGTTTTGGGGGCCCTCAGCAAGTGGTCTCCTTGGTGGATTTTGCGATCGATTCCGGGGTAGGGATGGGTATCGTTTACATTTTATCGATACGATACTGCTTATCGATACAGTTATCCATACTGCTCTCTATAATTTGGTGCAAAAATAAATGATGTAAAAAGATGTTGAAAATGTCAAGTTATTTTATTACTGCAGTTTACAAATGCCTCCAAGCAAACAGAAATAGGCACATAAAGCACATTTTTTTAATAAAAAGGCCCTTCAAAGAGAGAGAGAGAGACACACACACTCTCACACAACTAAGATACTGTTACACATGTACATAATGTTACAATTAAAAGTCCAGTAGTTGGTACATGACTTCTGTATTGGTTTTTTTTCTATACCTATCTGTGTGTATATATGACATTTACATATTAGTTATATATAACATTAGTTATAATATTTAATGTTAAGATGTTACAATGTAAATGTTCAGATGTTCTAAACCATTTTCTTTGTTGTCTCAATGCTTTGGCAATACAAAATGTATTTTTGTCATGCCAATAAAGCTATTTGAATTGAATTGAATTGAGAGAGAGAGAGATAGAGAGAGATTTCCTCAGCATACCATAGCACAACATATTTGAACATCCTGTGCATAGGAGCACAACAGAATGTAATAGAGAATTCTGGCGTCTCTAGCGATTTTTATTTAAGAAAATTAAAATATTGACTTTCTCAGGGAGCGGGCGTGATTTCTCCTAACAGAGAGTGTCCCTCTCTGTTTTAGAGGGACTTTTTTTTATCTCTGTTTTTATCTACATGATAAAAAAGGCTTCTATTTAACATGTAGAACTATTTATAGTGATACTGCAATCAGGATTTTTACAGACATTCATTCAGGGCCTGAGTTTCATTTTTGAAAATGGGGTGAATTCCCCTCTCAGGTGACTCTTGTGGAGGGAGGCTTTTTTTTATCTGAGTGGTGGAGGGGGGAATTTTTAGATTTTTAGTTTTTTTCAATAATAAGTAATACGTTATAGTGCAGCCGCGATGTGGTGATATGAAGCCATTTGCGCATTTTGAGAGGGAAAGACAGAAAGCATGCGGAGAACTCGTGCTGTTTGTAAAATTACGTCTCACAGAAAGTTTTCAAGTTATTTTGTCAGTTATTTAATGAAGAAATATGAATTCTACCTCACCTTCAGCATTACGCACCTGCTGTGAGAGGTTAGGCATGACATGCAGCGGCACCGTCTCAATCTCTGTCCGGCGCGGGTAAAATAATTATCATCAGCTTGAGATCGGTTTATGAGAACAGCTTCTAATTCTCCATTAACAGAGAAGTACGGAGATAAAACAACACATGTATCGATTACAGTATTGTTTGTCCTGAAGCTTATCGGTACCTGTCCAAAAAAATGGCATTTCTCGACTCCCATCGGAAGAAGTCGCATTCCGTGGGGGCCCCATGCAATTGCGTGGTGCCTAAACACGCTACTGGCAAAGTGCTGCCCTCGGGTGTAGATTTGCCACCTCTTCAGTTGTGAACAGTGAGAGAAGTGTATGTGTGGGTGTAAATGTGTTTGTATAAATTCCTCTCTGAAGATGGGGGTGAGAAAACAAGCCAACATTCATCTCCATTTCACACTCTCTTGCAGTATTTCTTGTCCTCAGACTCTTAGCTCAGAATCTCGCCTCAAGGCCTTCAAAATTGTTTTCTGTAGATTCTGTGGGAACTTAATATAAAGAAAGTAAATAGGGTCTATTTTGATTTTATGGTGCATCTTTCTCAATTGACAGCTACTTTAAAGTGGCTGTGTGAAATATTTTTTTCACAAGGGACATATAAATCACAAGTACTTCTTTTAGGCTTTTAGGGCTAACAAAAGTAATATTTTAACCTATTTATACATAGTACTATCTGTCTCTTTCAGATGTCTAACTACAAGCGTGCAACGTTTGAGGAGGAGGACGGGACAGACGTCCCGGCAGATGGAGCCATCTCTCCTGACAGTGTGGAGGTGGGTGTGGGTCAGGGCTCAGTGTGGATGTGGACATTTTATGTTTACATTCAGACATTTTAATGCCACATAAAAATAAGGAAACCAATAATTTAAGCTGTTAGTTCAGAGACAGTGAGAAGTATTGCTGTTGCACAAACAACAATTGCTGGAAAGTTGTGATAGTGAATTTTGCTCTGTGAATTTCATCTGTTTCCTGTCTGGTTGGATGCTCTTACCGCAGAAAATCTAGCTGACAGTTATGTTGTGTTGAATTGCTAGGCTAGTAGGAAAGAAAATCTGTCTTGAGTTGGTGGTGATGTTCTTTCTTCCAGGCTGAGCTATCCAGGCAAGTCGGGACACTGTGAGAACATTAGATGAAAGGGTAAACATAGCAGTAGTTGGACATACTGACAATACACTCTTTAATATAAAGGTTCCATAAGGGGGTCGCAGTGAGTCTGTCAACATTTTCTGTACATTGGAAAGCTTCCATGTATGCTAAAGGTTCTTCATGGAACCATTGATACCAAAAAAGAACCTTAATTTTTAAGTGTGTTGGTCTCATGGTTTGTAAATATGTGGAGAAAAGGAAAGGGCCAAGCACCAAGCCTTGAGGCACACCAGTGTTTAGCTGATATTACTTAGATACTGCTTCCCTCAAAGTCAGCATGCAGAATCTACCCTTGTCCAGTGTCTAGAAGGTAGAGGATATGCTTTGTCACTGTGATTAAGGTCCAGCAGAATGAACATTTTTGTGTGCAGTTAGCATGCAGTCTCTTTCAAAGCTGTAGAATGCTTATGCTCTTTACATCGGATGTATCATGGAACACATGATTCTTCTTGTTCTTTTGCAGTTCCTAAAATGTGCTGAGGTATTTCACAAAACTTCCTCTCCAGTGAAGCAAACCAAATTAATCCATACTAAGCCGGTAAAGCCAGCAAGGCGGAAATTGTCAAAGATATTATGTCTCAACAATTTAAACATTAATGTATTATCATCCACATTTCAGTATTCAGCAAATTGACTCAAAAGGACAACAGTATTTTGATTAGCCAATTATAATAAAGGTCATTAATAAAAGAAGTCATGAAAGGCAATAGAAAAACCTTTTTTTTTGTAGTGTGTCGATTCCTAGTCGTGTCCTCTTTTGGAAGGCCAAACAAAGTATTTTCACTTTTGCAACGAAACACACATCGTCTTCACAACATGGCGGCGGCGGTGGCAGCAAAAATAAAGTTACTCCTTCTTTCTTTGCGTGAACATTTGGGCAGCGTTATGCAAATCTTCCCACATTGTGACGTAGACATGTGGGGGAGTGTTTGAACGAGGTGTTTTAGGAGGGCGTGGACGAGTCTTAACTTTTTATAAAGAATATCTCTTTGGGTTTGAGACTTTAGTCTTTGCAACTTTACAGATCTTCTTTATGCACCAAGAGCTTGTAACACTCCAAAGAGAAAGGAAAAATTGAAATCGTATCATATGACCCCTTTAATAATCTAAACAAGGTTTTTTTTCCCATTATAAATAATCTTTTGTGCATTGCAAAGCTTCCGTGGATGTTAAAGGTTCTTCATGGAACCATCAATGCCAATAAAGAATCTTTATTTTTAAGAGTGTAGGTCTTGTGGTTGGTAAATATTTGGAGAACAGGAAGGGACCAAGCACCGAACCTTGAAGTACTCCAGTGGTTGTGATTTTTTTTCTTGTTATTTTCCTCTCTTTCTCTACAGTGAAACAAACCAGATTAATCCAAACTAAATTAAGCTGCTAAAGCCAGCCTAGCAGAAATTGTCACAGATATTATGTCACAACTAGGGTTGGGTATCGAAAACCGGTTCTAACCGGTTCCAAATTTCAAAGAACCGGGTATTCGATAAGACGCGTGCATTTCGATGCTGCTTAACAATTCCTGCGTTAGAGTCTTAACTTTGATAAAGAATATCTCTTTGGTTTTGAGACTTTAGTCTTTGCAACTTCAGGGATCTTATCTATGCACAATCAGCTTGTAACACTCCAAAGAGAAAGGAAAACTTGAAATCGCATCATATGACCCCTTTAATTTTTTTATAATGGATTTTTTATCTTATTGGAATCGAAACTAGGAATCGATAAGAATCGGAATCGATAAGCAGAATCAGAATCGGAATCAGAATCGGAATCGATAAAATTCAAACGATACCCAACAATAGTCACAACCATTAAAGCATTAATGTATTACCACTCACATTTATATATCAGCCTATTCAGTATTCATCAACTTGACCCCAATGAGCAACTGTATTTTGATATGTGAAGATTAGCCAATTATAATGGAGGTCATTAATATAAAATAATGGATTTTTTATCTTATTGGAATCGAAACTAGGAATCGATAATAATCGGAATCGATCAGCAGAATCGGAATCAGACATCTTGTGGATTAGGAACTAATAAATTTTTCATGTTATAGAAATGCAGAATAGATCTGAGCAATTATCCAGGTATGAGTAATGTTCTCAAAACACAGAAAACCTGTATCGCCACATTTTAAAAGTATTCGTTATGGTACTGTATGGTAATTAGAAAGAAAGCACAGTTAACAGCATGAGTTTAGAGAAACAGCATGAGAAATATTCAGCAGCTTTTCTTCCAGTATTATTTCTAATGTTGACATATTCTTATACCTTTTAGCAGAAGAAAAAAGCAGGTCAGATTTCCAGGGAATTTCCTACACTGAATTATGAATGACATTTGATATGAATTCATATCGATTCATGTGGCCCCTTTCATTTGTTGCTCACTTTTATGTCAAACAGGAAATGTGACACCTCTTCTGTTGGTTTGCCGTGCAAGCAATGATATGACGCATGTATTTAATACGGTATCCCCCAGGCAACTTGTTCTTTGTTCTTTGGGTGTTGAATGATGTTAAGAGACATGCAGTATATTTTGACACAAAAGCCTTACGTGATGTTCCCAGTGTTTCTACTCAGCAAGTCATTGCTCTTTTTTGAGAAGATCTTTATGAGAAGATTTTTTTTTTCTTCAATGTTTTAAACATAATTTTTTATTAGAGAAAGAAAGGGAGAATGAGATCACTATTAGTCACTGGCCAGACTCAAACTTGCACCATGTGAACATTTGAAGTGTTTAAACTGGAGTGCCTCAATTTGTCAGCCATTTATTCTCACAAAAATGTACTGTCGTGTTATAGTGTCGGTATCAGATGGTAATGCCATGGTGTTCAGATATATATCATGGTACTGAATGACTAAGTTCATATAGCATGGTATTTACATAACATGATCCAATATATGCCAAAGAGAATTGGACTACCATGCTATATATCCAAAAACATCCCAAACTTTTTCATACTTTTTTGTCTACATAGTTTGGAATGTTTCCCAGCAAATAGTAACAACAGATGATCAATATCTGACTCTCTTTCAGGTGGGTTTCCGTAAGGGTGGTATTCAGTTGTTTGGTCCACTGGGCAGGAGAACTCAACTGGAAGTAGTGTTGGCCGGTCTGCTTCTCGCTTCACTTCTAGCTCTGTTTGGCTGTGCGATTACACTGGGAGTCCGCTATAACAGAGGTAACAAACACACACACAGATGGAGTAAAATGTAACACATAATAACGTATTGGGGTGATTCTTAGACTATGGGCACTTTTATGTTCTTTGGTCATATTTATAAAAATACATATAATTTTGGACAAATTCCTCTTTCTTAGTCAAACTAACAATAAAACCACCTTAAAAATGATCTTAGACAATTCTTGAGTGGCATAAGTTATTCTATTTTTAAATAACAGCTGTATATTGAGATGTGGTGGAAATGACATTTGTTCATTGCAGGTTGGAAAAAATGTAAAATATTAACAATTTCTCTTGTAATCTAAGTTTGTCCTCTTACAGACCTTAAAACTAGACAAATTATTTAAACTTATGAGACTGTGTTACGTGACTTTTGAACAAGTTTTTTTTATTCAACTTCACAAGGATAAAAAGTGCCCCTAGCTGAAGAAACGCCTAAGATGCGAAGTAACACTGATTAAGCAGACATGCTTTTAAGACATCAGTTTAGTATATTTATTTAGTGTAGAATTTCCCAGGTGTTATTGTGCTTACCTTGTAGATACTTAGAGAAAAGGAATATACAGTATATATAAGAAATATTTTTCTATATATATTGCTCACCATTGTTTCAAAATTGTATGAATGTCTTTCTTCTTAGACCACAGAGAGATCATCTAACAATACGACTTGTCAACTCGTACGTACGAACGTCCCAGGAGGACTTGAACGCAGCATAATTGACCGTTCTCAAAGAGCTTGATTGACAGGCGATCTGACCAATCAGAATGCGGATATTATGTGCCGCCACTGCTATCTGCCATCTTGCCCGACATCTACGGCCAGTCTACATAGAAATCCATGTTTGTGTGCTCTTATCATTCTGTGGACAAAATCCCGTGAACTTCGGCCCAATCGGGAGCTGCATTTGCACATATGCGCTCATCTGTTTTCAATGCAGCTAACCTCGCGTCGCTTCATGTCATCTTCCACGCATTAAATTATGACAGGTCCTTTACTGCAAAAAGACGGTCATTGCGACACTGTAAAGTGATGAAACTATGGCGCCATGTGCTTTTTTAAAACCATTTTCATATGTTCACGTTTTATTGTCGGCTCGGAAAATATGTAAATGCGCATTTCCAGTAGCCGCAGCTGTATCCCTTCTAGCCTTTAACCACAAATCAGACAGGAGAGTAGATTCACTTCGGTGGACTTAAACTTGAAAAATGGTGTGTTCCGCGGTTGAAATAAAATACTTTCTGATGTTTATGTTCATTTCGTGCTTTACGTAAATATGAAAAGACGATTGGTTCACGTGCTTGAACTGAGGCAACACAGTGATCTGTCACAAGTCACGACACATTGAAGAGCCACAAAATGGTATTTATTGTTTGAATTTCTTTAAAAATGACAAAATTTGAAAGCTGAGAGTCCTGAGACCTTGTTTCATATCAGAAGTAACCTGCTCTGTCTTGTCTGTCGGCACGTTGTCAGTTTTCTCTTTGCTCTGTGATGTATTTTCACTGCGTGAGAACTCGCGGTGCATTCCAAACGGGATATATCGCCCTCCGAAGGGCACTTCGGAGTGAAAACAATCATGGCCGCCATATTGAAGGGTCGATCCAAACCGAAGTGCTTCAAACTGGCCACTTCAAAGGACCCTTCGGAATGAAGGATTTCGAAGGGTACAACAGATGGACACTTCGGGCTCCCATGATCCTTTGCGCAGATTCTTTGCATGATGATGGCGCCTCCGTGTGGGCACGTGATGATGAAGCAGAAGGGCACTTCAAGAAACAGTTGTTTGGTCCCATATACCCTTCAACCCTTCGGAGCTCTCACTCCGGAGGGTAAACCCTTTGAAGGGATTAGGGAATAGGGATGAGCCCTTCCGAATGGATCGCAGGGTCGATTTGCAGTAGGGATGGGGAGTCGACTCCAAAAGAGTCGATTCCTCGACTCTAAATAGCCCTAGAGTCGGAGTCGACTCCAGCACTGGAATCGACTCTCGGTATCGACTCTGAAATCACTTATGTCTTCACTGATTTTCAAATCCCTAAATAGTGCATGGCAGTTGAGTGCTGTATATCAGCAAAGAGTGAACGAAATTAAGCGAGGATCCGTTTGCAGTGCAGTCCGTGTGCGGTGCGTATAGCCTATGCGGTGCAGAAGCAGCACGGGCTTAGTGTGCTTTATTTAGTGTGCTCAGTACGCTATGATCCGCGGCTGTTTACCACCATTATTTTGATTTCAAATTCGAATGTTGTTACTAATTTTTTCTCTCTCTCACCATAGTGATTATCTTTTCACACAGTAATACTATCTTCCATAGACATATTCACGTGTAAGCGAAATATTATTAAATGCATTTTACTTCTGTACTGATTTATATATTAAGTTTATATATTAAGATGCTCAAGGAAGTGGCAAACATAGGGCTGGGTATCGATTCAGATGTCCCGATTCGATTCGATTTCGATTCGCACGCTCTCGATTCGATTCTTGATTTTTTTATTACATTCAGTGAATATAGTTTTAATACAAATGCTATTGATATTTCTAAAAAATGAACAGTAAACATCAGTTTACAAATGGTGAATTAATAAAAAGAAATTAAGAACCACATGCCTGTATTTTAAACCTAT